CGCTCATCAGAGTCACTGTCTAGTTCAGAGAACTCCATAAGTTCATCCTCCTCAAAGGAATTGTAGTGCTTGGTCTGTTTACGGACACGGGGCCTATCAATCACGAGGCTCTCCTGTGAAGGGAAGGGAAAAGAAGAACACATGTAACTACTTGAATCTGCACCCAAAGCTGCCTGGGATGGTTAACTATTTCTTTCTGAAACTGTAACATCTACAGATTTTTCAGAAGTAAGCACTGATACGCATTTAAAAAAAAATATCACAACTGGAATGGCCATGAGTTGGTAAATCTATTTTCAAGAGTTGGCCACAGACAAAACAGAGACTCTGCACCTGCCCCCCACTTTCCTGTTTTTCAGAGCAACTCTTTTATTCTCTCCGCCCATGTTCATTATTGCATGTGTGTTATGTTATGGCAGGAAAACAAGAAGAAAATATCTCAGTGGTCTGTTGCATAGCATTATTCCCTCTGTTGTGGCTTCTTTTGCCCTAGCTAGAGTATTAGAAGGCATTATCCTTAGGCTACATTTTAAAGCCTCTCCCCATGTGACCCAACAACCTGCAATCATCATCTGAGGCCCTTCTTCATGTGCCTCTTCTGTAAGAGGTCCAGAGGATGGCAACACGAGAACAGGCCTTTTTCTGTGGTAGCTCCCTGTTTGTGAAATGCTCTCCTTGGGGCGGCCCGCCTGGTGCCTTCATTACATATCTTTAGGCACCAGGCAAAAATATCCAGCTTCTCCCAGGCCTTTAGCTATTCAAACAATATATGGCCTTTTAAACTGGAGGGGCGGGGTATTGCTTTTGTTTGTTGCTATTTATGCATTTTTGTGGTTTTATATTGTAAACTGACCTGTGATCCTTGGATGAAGGGCTGAATAAATAAGGCAGACACCAGAGATGACTGGTTCTGCCCGAGGTAGCTGGACCATACTGAACCAGTTGTTTGAGCAAGCAGGTACAGCGACTGGGCTCAGGAGGTGGCAGCTGTGTATGCTGGTTTTCTTCCAGGTAGCTGAACACTTCAGTGTTTCTTCTTCCCCCCAAAAAACGCAGCAACCACACACTTGTTTTCAGTGCCTCCAACTAAGAAGACTGACTGTGATGGCTGGAGCCACCTAATACCTTTCAAAGGCAGGGGAAGGTGGGGGGGAGTTCCTTTCCCTTTAACAGCAGCAACTATCTGATAAGCAAGCATGGAAGGAAAGAATGGGAGATATGGTATCCTTTTGGGGACGCAGTCTTGCCTTTAGCAGACTACAGGCAGCAAGAACAGGAATACTTTTAGTTGCTACAACTCACATCAGTATGAGAGAAGGACAATGCAAAGCTATTGGGCTGTCAAAATCCAAAGCCTGAACCACTGCCTGCACCTCTCCCTGGCCCAGTACAAAGTGATGGGTTCCTTTCATTCTATGCTCCTATGCAAAAGCCACAGCTGTCAACATGAGCTTAAAGACAAAAGGGGTGAACATCCACCTCCAGTACAGGGATTAATTTGTTAATGGTTAATTCATCAGAACTTTACATGAAACCTGAAAACAGCACTCTTTTCAAACAAAATGGTGAATGGTGGTTGTAAAGGTAATACAACTTAAAGAGATATAAAATATTTCTTTGTAATGATGTTTCCCTCCAATGTCTGCTGTTTATATTGGCGTGTGCATATTTTTCACCTTAAAAACAGCAATGTTAAGGAAAACAGCAAAAGAAAAAGAAATGGTAGAAAATAGTAGATCAGGTTTTAAAGAAAAAGACTTTAATTATATGCTTGAATTTTACATTCTTACAATGTCAGTTGATTTGATTTCACAGCACAGAGTATCTAAATTGCTAAGTGTGGGAGCTGAGGATAAATTGCATCTGGCGCTCAATTTAGAGACTGGTTTAAAATTGAAAGGCTGTTTAAAACTGTACCCAGCTTCATTCAGAATGTTAATACTAACTTCAATCACTGTGTTTTGTTTTATGATGCATCTTGAAGAAGTAACGTTTACTTGATTTAAAAAGTTCTCTTTTCTCCTCTGGATTTTTAAGTGTCAGTGTTCTATCTTATATTGGACAATTTTATGCAAGTGTGTTTGTGTGTGTGTGTGCCCTCACATGTGCACGGTCATGCAAACATATGTATTGTAGACATACATATGTAGTAAGTAAATGTTTTTCACACTGCACATCAGTGCATTACTATAGGCCACAATTCTAAGCATGTTTGCTTGGAAGTAAAATCAACAGGACTTGCTTTGGATTAAATACCAGGCTACACCGAAGGAAGTGGCTGAAAAGAAGGGAGGCAGATAGATGCAAATCTATACACTTTAAATAGACTTTTTCACCCTGAGATGAAGAAGAATAAAGTTTAATTTGAAATAAACTATAAGTAAAGGTTAGGTTGTTAAGAAAAACCAGAGTTGGGCCCAGTGAATGACTGGGGAGCACTTTGCTAAAGCTAAGCCACTATAGACCTTATCAGTTCCTTGGATGGGAGACCACTAGACTCTTTCTTTCTTTGTAATTTTAAATTCTCAATAAATATTATTTTTAAAAAAATGAATTAGAAACAATTAAAATAAATAAGTACTTTTTTGTTTGATACTTACGACATACCAGGCATTGCTAAATAGTTTGCAAAAGGAATGGGCTTTAACTTACAATAAATCTCTCAACACATAACACAGACATAACTTAAATCTACAAGTTGTGTCAGATGCACTTGCTAGTCAAAGCTATCAGCTGAATAAAGTTATTAGAATCTGATATCCTGACTCAGGGCCAGGTTGTGCTACTGTGCCATACCTGAGTGGGTCAGAAATACTGCTCACACAGGAAAACCCTCAGACCAAGGACCTCAGCATGAATTTATAGTATTAGAAAGGATTCTAAGAATCAGGTTCAGGAAAGGGATGGCATGACCCAAGTTCCTGCAGAAGAGATGTTCATATGATCTGTATCAAGTTCCTGTCCTCCATTATACACCAACAGTAGCCCAAAGCACCATTGAATAGAGCTTGCTGCAAACTGTTATGTAGGTGTATATGTTTGTGCATGCATTTTATTTCTGGTTCCAAAATAGTAACATCATAATTACCTTCTCATTTTTTGCATCTGTATCCAGCTCTGCTATTTTTGCCCATTTCTGCCAGAAGTTGGGATCATCTAATGAAATGTCAGTTCTGTTTCCGGAAGCAACAAAACTGGCCTGGGAGTGAAATGAAAATTAACAGAATATACCTCACACAGCAGCAGAACAAAGGAGAGCCAAGAATCCTTTATGCAGTACCACTCAGAAAGAAACCACACTGGGGTGCAGACAAATAATTTGGTAGTTAAATTAGAGAATGCCCAGCAATTGGCTTTCTCCAACATGCTGGGGATGTTAGGCCCTGGGATAAACAATACGTGATTAGGATTTCTAAATGGTGTTTTTTTCTGGATATTTATACATACTAGGCATTGCATTTAGCAGGTTGGTTTCAAGAAACTCAGCTTGTCAGCCAGACATATAGTTGACAGCATATAGGCAGAGGTGAAAAATAAACACAGTGTCTCACCCCCAGAACTCTCTTGGTGCCAATTCTCTGCGATGCAGCACAGACTACAACGTTGACCCCTTGGACAAACATCTCACTAATATAGGGAAGGCAAGGAGCATGGCTGGGGTCACACAGGGCCTGTGTCAATGGTATCATTTGGCATCCCACACCCCACCAGGGGGTTCACTGACAAGACCCCCATGGGCCTGCTGTGCTAAGAAGGTAGAATAACTGAGGGAGGCAGTTGCTCCAGTGTCCTGGAGCCAACACCAGAGTCACAAGGCAAATGCTAGACAGAAACAATTCATACGACTATTCAGTCTAATGATTCAGCTCCGTCAAACACATAAGAACAACATAAGATGACCCGGATGGTTGCCAGATTCTGTGTACAGATCTATAAGCGCAGACCATCCCCCAACCCAAACTAGTTTGTTAAGAAAATTCCCAAACTCGGTTCCATGGGTGACTCTGGGTCATCCCTCTGCGGTAGCTTATCTTAAAGTTTTAAGTGTCTATACACTTATCGCATTTATAAATTTTAAATTTATTGTTGTACATTGTTTTAAATGTTTGTTTTCCTTCTGGGATTGTACCCCACGTGTGTTTTATAAGCTGGTCTCTGACCGTAATAAATTATCTATATCTATCTATCTATCTATCTATCTAATCTATATCTATCATAGAAACATAAGCAAAGCCTGCTGAGTTAAGCCAATGGCCCATCTAGTTCAGCATCCTGTTCTCCCAGGGAAGTCCGCAAGCAGGACTCAAGTGCAACAGCACTCTGCCCAACTGTGATTCCCAGCAACCGGTTTTCAGTGATATACTGCCTCCAACAGGAAGGTTTGAACACCTTCTCCTCTTCTTTGCTACACATACCCACTGTCCAATTGTAATTCTGATTCATAACTGTATTTCTCTGCATTTCTTTAGCAGACATCTTTAGTGTCACAGGAAGAAGGTAGCATTCTAATAGTTTGAGAGTCCTTAACCAAGAAGGCAATGAAACCAGAAAAGAAGCTCAACCTTTACAAAAACAAAAGCCTGTGAGAATCAGAGGGGCTTGCAGAAAATAATGGCGCAGAGCACAACCCCATTCTTCCCAAAGGCATGCTCTCATATGCCTGCACGCTACTGAAAATCTAAGAGGACTATTGCAGGCTCAGCTGGATTTTGCCCCCAGGCAAACAATATACACCAACCTTGGAAAATGTGGAGCCTTTCCCTTCAGTCTGGATAGTGATGGTCTGGGTTCTGCGTTGCAGTATTTGGTCAATATCTTCCTCACAGAACTTGGAGCCCTCGTCTTCTTCATCCATCAAAGCCCCATAAGCGCCTTTTCGCAATAAATCTTCAACCTCCATTTTTGAAAGCTGCTGCACCTTCCAAAGAGACAAACAAAAAGAAAAGAGAACCCCACCTTGGACAGCGAACAGGGAAAAAACTGGCAACTTCAAAAAGTAGGTTCTGGGATAGTTCAGTCAGTAGAGCATCAGACTCTTAATCTCAGGGATGTGGGTTCAAGCCCCACGTTGGACAAAAGATTCCTGCATTGCAGGGATTGGACTAGATGATTCTCAGGGTCCCTTCCAACTCTATGATTCTATGAAGTCTACAGAAAGGAATGAAAATTAGCAGACCCAAAGGTCATGGTTCCAAAAGGCCTCCTTACCCCATTGTTGCTCCCCTTGCGATTTATGTCCTGCAGCACCGCTTTGTCCAAGCCTAGCTTCAAGCTGGCCTTGTCAAACATCTCCCGCTCGTAAGAGTTCCTAGTGATGAGGCGATAGACCTTCACTGCCTTGCTTTGGCCTATCCGATGGCAGCGAGCCTGAGCCTACAGGAGAAAGACAAGGAAGGCATCACTGGAGACAGAGCTGGCAGAACTGGAGGCAGCGGGGGAGCTTTCTCCATCCACATCACCATCAAAATCCTTCTCCCATCACCTCTCTTAACCCTCTCATAACTGCATCTGAACCCATCAGGTGGAGGAAGAACAGCCATGCCAAGGCTTCCCAGTATAAAAGACCGTAATAGACACCACCATAAGACTCACAAACAATCAAAGCATTTCCAAATCGGGGCATATTAGAGTTTACTCTTATTGTTGGGAAAACTTTTATGAGTACAAAACCCACTGAAAACTAAAAATGCATGTGCACCTGAAGCTGGAAGAGATACCCTATTGATGTGGAAGAGATGGGAGTGTCAGGTTCATGCCCCTTCAAGCACCCTTTTGCCTTCTGAGCAGTGAGTTCCACATTTTTCATGGTCACTCTACATAGCCTCTGTTCCCAGCAACAAGCTTTTAGCCATATCTTTGGACCATGTGGTCCCATCTTAGAGATGTTGGCAGTACCTGCAGATCGTTTTGTGGATTCCAGTCCGAGTCAAAGATGATGCAGGTGTCAGCAGCAGTAAGGTTGATGCCCAGCCCTCCTGCCCGTGTACAGAGCAAGAACACAAAGCGGTCTGAATCCGGCTTGCAGAAGCGGTCAATGGCAGCCTGGCGTAAATTCCCACGCACCCGCCCATCAATGCGCTCATAGGTGTACCTGTGTAAACAGGGAGGCATAATAGGTCACCTTGGGAATAGTGCAAAAAGGAACAGCAGCACCACAGAACTAGAACTTCCTGCCTCCAACTGTGGCCGAATTAGCAACAGAGCTGTGTTGGTAAAGCTAAGCAAACCCAGTTTCCTTACTCTGGTGTTGTGGAAAAGAGCAATGGCCATGAAGCAGCCATCCCTGTTTCAAATCTCAGCCTAGCTATGAATTCTTTGGGAGACTTCAATCATGCCAATATATCTTAACCTTACCCCAATCTCTGTAATATGAAGAGAATACTGCTGGCCTATGTTACAGGCTTGTTGCCAGGATTGTTGAGGCATTGTGGATGGAATGCTTTGCGGCTATGCTCTAAAATGCTAAAATATCATCACCACCACCTGTATCTGTTTTTTTTTTTTTTAAATAGACATGCATAGGATCTAGGAGTTACTCTGATATCAGCAAATACACCTGGTACTCCAAGACCCCCCTCCTATAACCAAGCTGGTCCCCTATAATAATCCCCCAGTTTCACCCAAAGCCCACTTTTCTCCCCATGGCTTTCTATGTAAGATGTTCTCTGATACCAATAGTCAAGAAGTAGTAAAGCAACTAGATTACTATGCAAAGAGCTGGAAATGTATTTCAAATAGGCACTAGTACTACATGTTCAAAAAAACTATTCAGTCTCCTAGGTCCCAGATTAAAGTTCTAAGCACCAGGCAACTTAAAGCCCAGGATTTTCCCAACTGTGATGTGCTACTTCTTGTGCGACTTCCAGCAGCCTTTGTCACATTACAGAAAGCAGCTGGAATAAGATTTGAGATGGTAGCTGCAAGTGTGCTGCTTAGAGAACGGGTCTCCACAAGGGAGGCACTTTTAAGCCAGCAGCGGCTGGTTCACTCAGAGAAGAAGGTGTTCACTACAGAACTGATAAACTGCAGGAGGGCTGCTGGAGCCATCTAGTCTCACAGTGAGAAAGCAACTACATAGATACAGATCACAGTGAACTGCTATGATTTCCAGAGGGGCTGCCACGTAACTCTGTTGCAGCCTTGTGGCAACTTAAGCACTAACTAATGTGTTAGCACACAAGCTTTCATAGACTGGAGCCCACGTCATAAAAATGGGACTCCACTCCACAAAATCTTATGCTATAATAACTGTGTTAAACCTTTAAGGTGCCACAAGACTTTACCACATGACAGCGAACTTAAAATGACTGGACTGCTTCTTAATTAGGAACAGAAGAAGCTGCCTTATACCAGATAAAACTATTTGTCTATTTAGCCCCCTACTGTCTATTGTGATTAACAGTGACCAATCAATCCTATTTTTCACAGGGGATGACAGGAATTGAACCTGGGACTATCTCCATGCAAGGCATGTGTTCTACCACTGAGCTATGGTTCCTTCCCTCTATGGGTACTGAATTCTCAGTAGGGACTGCTATCCCGCATGGTAGTGGGTCAAGACAGATTGTGACTCAAATGCACAGATAAGAATGGATCCAGGGAAAGCGAGTTATGACAACTGCAAGGGATGGAGGGTTTGTGCTTGCTTTCACAACACAGCTGTTCCCTTCCTGCCTCCAAGGGTAAAGGAAGAGAAGGGGATGAAGGAGAGAATCTAGGCAGAGGGGGAGAGGAAAATGGTATATATGAGTGCATTGGAAGATGACAGTAAGCCTAACAGCTTAGCATGCTCTGGAAGGATATCACTGATCCAGGTGATGCTCTGTGGTGCGAGCTCTTGGGCTGTACTGACCGCCTCTGGATGAGATAATCCTCCAGGATATCAAGGCAGCGCACCATCTGGGAGAAGATCAGCACCTTGTGCCCGCCTGCAATCAGCTTCGGCAGCAGCTTATCAATCAACACCAGCTTGCCTGCTGCCTGGATCATCGCCTGTAGCTGGAAGTCAAGAGCATCTGGACTGTGGGTTTTACGGAAATCCTCCAGGATCTTCTCCTCTGCCCCTGGCCCAGAGAGAGAGGGGGGGGAAATTCACCAGTGGTTCAAGGTTCATAATCAACTCCCAAAGCATCCCTAGCACATTATCGCTTTGTTTTGGTGCTGCTCATTATTTACCATGGAGACTTTGGTAAAGGAACTGTGATGGGGGTGCAGGAGGCAGTCCTTATACCTCTAGGCCAAGGGTGGGGAACCTGTAGTTCTCCAGATGTTGTTGACTAGAACTCCTCCCGTCCCCGCTGTTGGAACCATTGATGGCACCATCACCCCCTAAGGAAACACCCGATTCATCTGCAAGTTGCTACGGTAACTCTTGCCGCTTCGCTACGGATGAGGAAACTGCAGCAGCATTACAGTACAAGTGTGCTGGAGTGCCCAGATTCCAGCCCCACCCCTTACCATTGATGAGGTAGGGGTGGTTGCAGCACTTCCGCAGCTCCATCATGGTGTTGATGAGGTTAGGCATGTTGTGCTGGTTAGCACCCTTGGACAGGAAGCTGAAATTCTTCTCCAGGATAGCCCGGTAGTATTTCTTCTGGATGTTGGTCAGTTCTACCTCAATGATGGTCTCCTGTTTGGGTGCTAGGTTCTTTTCCACATCGTCTTTCAGCCGTCTCAGCATCATGGGTTTCAGGAGAGACTGGAGCTTTTTTACCTGCCAGGATCAAGAAGAAAGATAATCCATTAACACTGCATGGGATCTCAGCTCAGACAGCAACTCTGGAACTTCACATACAAAGGCTCTCCATATGCCAGACCTAACATACTGATTAAGCAAGCAACTGCCCAGAACTCAGACGTGCAAATTCTAAGATGTCAGGGCAAAGCCCGCTTACTGCTCTTTTGTGAGCCTCAAGCAGGGAAAGTAGCATATGCAACAAATATGCCTAGCTGGGAGAAAGGTGGCACATACTATTACTATTATATATTTATTTATACTCTGATTTATTCCTGTCAGGGACTCAAGGTGGTTTACAGATAAGAGCAGTTAAAAACATAGGGAAAAAATCATTGAAACACACACACCCTACTGAAGTGAGCCCCAGCTCAGCACACCAGCTGAGAGTCAATCCTGCAACCTTTCCTTTTTACCTGTTCCTCTGTCTTGAGGTCCCCAAACTCTTCCAGGAAAGCCGTCTCAGATGGGAACTGCTGTGGCTCCAAGAAGTTCAGTAGGCTGAAGAGCTCCTCCACCGAGTTCTGCAAGGGTGTCCCAGTCAGGAGCACTTTGTGTTCCTATTTGCCATGCAGGGAGAGATCAGGACAGGACATTTGCTGAGGCAACAGGATGGACAGGGCGCTAACTCCTGCACTGTGGCCCTGCAGTGCTTTTGCTTCTGGAGCAGAGGCAGCTGGTGACAGGTCACTCTGCCAGTCAAAGGGTCTACTTTCAACTCTCGGAGAAGCCAGCTTCTCAGAGACTATTCTCACCTCTTTACACCCAGCACCTGCCCTGCCCAAACCATTGCCACCCGAGGGAGAAGCAAACATTCTATTGCAAGCCAGATGGCTCCAAGCCATCTTCCTACAGGAAAGCACTTAACTTCCCAAACTGCCCGCTGTAGAAAATGCTAAGAGTCCACAAGTTTTGACTGATGGTTTCATCCAAACACAGTGACTCTCCTAAGGGTATAACTGGAAAAGATATGCTATGGTATGCCTCTGATGTTCATGAGAGACATGCACCACATAGCTAGAAGGCTGCTAGAAGTTCCCTTTGGAGGCTTTGAGAGCCATGTAGCTGCAAAGCACAATCTTGGGCAAACCTCAGGACATGTGTTGTGCAACTGTGGAGTAGGATCCTGGCCCCAGTACAGCAACAGAAATAGATGCTCACTTGCACACCATTCAGTATCCTTGCACCAGGGTTGGATTCCCACAGTGCGCAGAAGAAGAAATTCAATTTGGAAAGCCTCACCAGAGACATGAGTTTCAGTCCTTCCAGTAATTTGCAGTTCCTGTTCTTGAGCCGATGGGCCTCATCGATTACCACACAGCGCCACTGGATCTTCTTCAGCTCTGGGCAGTCAGCCAGGATCATCTCAAAGGTGGTGATGACTACATGAAATTTGAAGAGCCCTGAAAGAGGATTGCCCTGGAGATACCAAAACAAGATGGGAGAGTTTGCTAGCAGCTAGGACTGCTCAGGTAGCAGGAGTCCCTCAAGTTCTTGACTGAGGCACCTGGTGCCTGAAAAGTGCTAGTCAAGCTCAACAGAAGGGGACTTGCAAGCTCCACTTAAAACAGAGGCCATGGAACTACATCACCAGTAATCTTCTCCTTACTCAGCAGTTGCCCATACCTAGCATAACTCCACTGTTCACTGAGCATACCCATAAGTAGAGAAGGGGCACTATTAAATGCACCTGGAGTCTGCATCTATAACTGAAAGACAAGCAGCCCTTCCCAGTTACGTTTCTCCCCCAAGGTATCCAGGTGGTAGAGCCCCACTCTCTGCTTTCTGAAAGTTTTGTTCAATTCTGACAGTGGGGGAAGGTGCAGCCTGAACCTCACTTTCAGAACCTCCCAAACAGGTGCTGCCACTGAGTCAGCTGCACCACTCACACTACCCTCAACTACTCTAAATTACAAGTGGACTGGTCATTTTGGCTGTGTTTTATTTCCACTGTCAGAGGTAGGTTGTCTCTGAATACCAGTTGTTGCAAATTGCACTCAGGTCCTGCTTGCCATAGGTTTCCGGTTGGCCACCATGAGAACACTGGATGAGATGGACCTTTGCAGGGCTCTTACAGTTTGTTGTTGTTTTTTTTTCATGTACTCCTTGGTTTTAGACTCCCCAAAGTAGTAAAGCCTCCCCACTCTGCTCCAGAGCATTGCTGGGAACCCTGCAGGCCACATTCCCAACAGAAGTTAAAAAAACACACCCAGGCACAGCAGTAGCAGCAAGGATTCCAGAGATGCCTGAGGACCAGAGAGCATCACAAACCTGTGGATCCCGGTACACCATCTCATACTGCTGGATCATCTGGCGGCTTATCTGGCTGCCATGGTACACAATGGCATTCATCTCAGTCCACGTGCGGAACTCTCTCTCCCAGTTTGTGATTGTGGAGAGTGGGGCAATGATGAGGAACGGCCCCCGAAGGCCCATCAGGTATATCTCAGAGAGGAATGTAATGGACTGGATTGTCTTCCCTAAACCCATTTCATCAGCCAGAATGCAGTTCTTCCTACGGGAAACACCACAAGCAGACGTTACAATCCCTGGGAAGCACACAACTGAGCAAGGCCTCCTGCAGACGATTCCTGGCTTTAACAATGACACAGTGTGTTACCTAGACAAGTTGTTTGAACCTTCTGGTGCGGTTCTCCCCACCTACTTGCTTCTTAAGAGTTCATGTCTACATCCCACGGAAATGAGTGCCAAATTAACTAGTACTGATGGCAAATAGCCTCAGAGATTTGCAGCATCAGCAACATGTGCACACAGTACGGGGTTAGCTTCCCATGCTGCACGTTTCCAACAGTTACACAGTTCTCCTGCCTCCACATTCCTAGCATAAGTTATAGGCACATTTGCTCCAGCTACCCTGCAAGTGACTAAGATGTCAAGCCAATTAAACTATACACCAAATCAACAAAAAACATCCCCAAAACCCAGCTGAATGCTTGTAGCCTCTGAAATATGCTAACAGCACCCCTTCAAACAACTCCTGTTGTTACTTCATTGTTACTGATGACATTTACCAAAGATGCCCCTGTGTCATCTGCAACTCACCTGTTGTACCAATTAAAGAGCAGCCAATTCATTCCCTCCAGCTGGTACTCCCGCAGTTGGTTGTTGTTCTTATAGTCCCGAGTTTTCACTAACTTTTGCCAGGACTCAGAGGCAGGACGCTCCTGGAGGGGGAAATCAGAAAGGAGTACAGTGACTAGTGCAAAGACTAATCTTATCTTGGGAAAGATATTTTCATAATTGATTAGCACTTCTAACTACTTCTCACATTCTATAGGAAGCTACATTTTGTGTTTGTGGTATTGTATTGTACTGTATGGTACTGGCTATAGCAAAAGTGCCATGCATTCACAGATTCCCAAGGGCTGATAGGGAAAACCTCATCATCAAATTCAACCCACCTACCTCTACTGGCAGCAGAAGGGGTGAACCTAAGTGATAGAAGCACATGTGTTCCCTGCCAACTTTATGATGGCCAGAATACTGTATTAGTCCAAAATACACTGGGAGCCTGATAAAGTAAAGACATGCAATGTGCTCACAAGTTTTCCCATAGTGGTTCAGGGCACAAAGAACAAACTAGGGCACTTACATCATTCAGATCACAGTGTGCCACAGAACAGGAATGAACAGAACCCCTACAGAACAAGTAATTCTGGGTGACTGAAGCCACATCCTACAGGCAAAAGTTTTTTTGTTTTGTTTTTTAAAGTAAGCAAAAAGGGCTTGGGGAAAAACTCCTTACTGA